AGAATAAAAACACTTACATAGAATATAGTTCAGTAGCGTAAAGGATCCTCCATTTGTACGGGCCACAAGTCAGTATCAGGAAGTGTGTATGCTCCGTCCACTGACACATTTCGTCGCCACTGACTTTTTCCATGAGGTAGCATGTATTTTTTATTGTACTATATGAGTACTGCACAGTTGGGTGCTTGTTGGCACATACGTTATTATATTTATATGAAAATAATTAACTACAATGTATGCTAAATTTGATATTTTACATTGACACTTTATATATTTGAAGCTTGATGTTTTATTTTTTTTCAAGGTTTAGTGCAATGCATTGGCATTCATCTATTAAGAAAAAAATTCTGGTCTTTTGAAATATATGGTTATAATGTATACCTAATAATTTCACAAACATGCTAAAATACCTGCAGTCCTGGGGCAATAGAAAAGATTGGAAGGCAGGAAAATAAGTAAACTTTTTCCCCTATTAAATGTCACATTTACATACTGAAACATTTCAGGATTTGGGTCTTCAGGGAAATTCATGAAAATGCTTCCTCCTACACCTCTAGGTGTATGCATTCAATTAATGGAGCCAGATTAGCATGAACTACCAAATACACATTAAAATACTATAAATAAATACAATAAATCACTTTTATTCCCGACTGCAGGCTCATGTGGCAAACCCTGACAATACTCCGTTTAGTGACATGCAGTTCTGGTACACATTCCAGACAATGAGCAACAGGAAAAAAGTAAGGCTCCAAAGGTAGAAGTGCTTCAAAGATATTGTATAATAAAAATAATAACTATTATTACGACATGCATATCATCACACAAAGAATTGCTACACATAGTCTAAAATAGTTCCTATGTAGTAAAGGAAACAAGCATGTCAATATTAAGATGATGTATAATATTCACATGCCATCAATACACAATTTTTAAATGATGTTACATCACCATATGAGGGGTGTGTCCTAATCGGACAATTATCTGGGAAAAAAAGTATTTTCTAGAGTGTTAATGGGAAGTTTTTTAGATTACCAAACCTACCTTTTCAGCAACGTTTGAAATTTAATGCGCAACAAGAAAAGTACAAGTAAAGTAAACCACATCAATAAATAATAATTCCATAATAATACCCCATGCAAACAAATTTAGATTGGTTGTGGGAATCTATGGCCTCAACTTCAGGCTTATTTTTATATGTGTGTGAAGTATTTAGGGGAGAACTGGAGTGAGGAATCACAAGAATGGAGCCTGTTGAGAATCTGCATACACAATTATTAAGAGACAGATTGTGAACCACTATACTATAAATATATATTTATTAAAGTATAGTGAACGCCAATTTGGCTTTAGTAGGAAAAAAACAAGGTTATTTATTTTAAAATTCATTAGAAACTCTATGTAGGATATATAGCAGTTGGGAGTCTAGATTTAGAGGTAAATTGATGCGTAGCTTTGTCCTTCTACTTTAAATGTGATTTTCATAGTGCCCACATGAATGTTATAATTACACTAATTGTAAAAAACACTTGTCAGAAACTACTAAACAAGTGAGGGAAAAAGTGGATACAAATTTATATTAGGAAAGCATTACATTTTACAGATTGGAATATTACAAGTTTTGGGGGGTTTCCACAAGACCTAGATAAGACTGAAAGCAGGTACATGTGCAGTATGCATGTGTTCAATTTACATTTAGAAATTGTTTGTGAAATATGACAGGGAAGTGGAAGACTGCCATTCTTTAACTTTCCCCACATTCTTGATATGTGTCTTCTTTCATAAATTATTCAGCTCCTGTGTTGTTGGAACATTCATTTATTTATACACTTTACAATTAAGTTATTCAAAACAAGAAATCATATTGGTAAGTAGGACAACTAATTGCTACAGCATTTAGCCCATAATTACAATCAATGTACAATAAATACTTGGCAATTGTAATCAATTGAAATTTGATGTGAAAGCTTTTAACCTAAGCAGGAAAATTTATTTTTGTTTCCCATTATATAAACAGGACAGCATGTAAGGGGAGGAACTCTCAAATGGGGGAACAAAGAGGAATACAGGTTTTTCTTATATCTTAATGCAGAACTCCAATTTTAACTTTACAAAATAAACTGTCCATTGATTTATACCAATATAAACCTCGCCTCCGATGCTGTCCCCCACACAAACTCTGTGAGGCCCTTTTCAGAGTTGAATGGCAGGGTCTGTGAGCCCAGGCGGTCATGGTTTTATGTACAGTATGTCACCACATCAGCCTGGGCTCGCAGTACAGCACTGCACAGAGCAGCACAAACATCAGTGCTGCTCCTTGCAATATTAAAGATTGCCCCAGCCTCCACAGGAAGAAGAGAAATAAAGATCCAAAGAGGTCTTGTGACCAGCCAGAAAACCCTAGGAAAGTATGTATTACAGCAATAAAAAATGGTACAGGGAGGGTGATTGTGAAGAAAAAAAAAGCCGAAGCTACATACAGTATATCCGGCGTATAAGACGTCCTCTGATTTTCGAGTGATGTTTTGGGGTCTAAAAACACGTCTTATACGCCGGCAAATACGGTACCTGGACAGGAAGTATGGGGAAATCTTGCCAATGGGTTATAGACCGCAAATAAATTCCCCTACTGTTTTCAAACTTGGAAAAAACAGCTGCAGTTTCATTTGAATGACAGTGAGTTACATTGCCTGTCATCATTAACATTCTATGTATACTGAAAACTAATAGCTGAAAACTTTAATGAAAATACCATATAAAAGGCGGGCATAAATGTCTGTGTGTCTTATCGAGCGAATGTGTGAGAGCTGAGGGAATCCTTATCGCCCGACGCCCAGGACATGCAGTTTCGGGTGCCAGGCGAGTAGTTATTTTGTACATTTAGCCCTGCTCCTGACAAGCAGAGCTAAATGTACAGTGTAGAACCGCCGCTCATTTTCATACAAGTGATCTGATTAGATCACTTGTATGAAAGGAGCAGCAGTTTTCAGGGTCCCCCGCTCCTCTGGGGGGACCGTGACCAAGACATAGGAGCTCACCATAGAGCCTGTAGAGCAGACAAAGAATATCCGTTCTTCGTCTGCTCTGTGTGATCACTGAGACCGAGGAGCTGTAATCACAGTGCAGCCTGTCTCAGCTGTCAGGAACTACACTCATCTTATGGTCAGGTGGGTATTATGGAGCACAAAATACTGTAGTTGTATTTTTTATACAAGTATGTTTTCAAAATCATGTGTCTAGAATATGATCACAGAAACTCATATCTAAAGAGAAGCCCAGAAATGCAATAGCAATAATGAAGCGGCACCAGAATAATAAACGTTACAAACAGAAAACAACAAACTTGCCTATTACAGTAATGCGCATCATGGCTTGAGCAGTCCACAGAAGATTTATGTGGCTCAAAGTTAGTCTAAATACACTTTCTGTATTTGCTGAACATCCACTCTAGGTCAGGGCAGTGCAGCATAAATGTATAGAGTATATATCTACGGTAATAACTTATTGTATTAATATTTCTATAATCACTGTGATGAACCTTCATATAATTGAAAAGGCACTGTACCAAATACAGGGTTCGGATAAGTAAATACTGATTGTACGTTTTACTACAACCTGGAGAGTGGGGGGCTGGGAAGTAAATACATTTAGTCAATGTCTTTTACAGCTTGTGCCAATGGCATCAGTCTGAAATATTTCTGAATGAATTGACAGGTACGTTTGACCTGCAATTAACCTGCTTCAAACAGGTTTTACATTTCTATGGAGTTGTATGGAAATGCAAAACCCGCTTAATACAGTCAAAAGCTCATTAACAGAGGTCCTTAAAGGAGAACTATGAGATGAGTGATTTTCACTCACCTCATAGTTCTAGCCGACCTGTGACAATGAGACTGTCACAGGTCGGCTCAGTAGATCGGGAGGTGAGCGAACACATACCGGGTTTGCTCGCCTCTCGATCCTGCCACGGCTTTCTGCCGTGACAGGGGGAGGGGCTGGATTCCCCTCTCCGATCTGCCAGCGCTGACTGGCAGAACGGACGGGGGAGGGGGCGGGTACAGCTGGCTCTGCCTCTAGATAGGCAGAGCCAGCTGTCACTCACGCAGCTGGGCGGATCCCGTCATCTACGTCGGGATCCGCTCCAGGTGCGGCGTCTCAGTATACTGCGAGCTGTAGCTCGCGGTATACTGAGCTTAGGGTAACGGGAGGACGCTAGTTTGTGTCCTCCCTTTACCCTGAGAACTATGGGGAAAAACACTGACCCCATAGTTCTCCTTTAATGAGTTTTTCATAGAAGCCACCTACATCATTAGAACATTCTTCTGTATAACTCCCTAGATGTCAACATTCAAACAAAGCACACAAAAAAACAATGGCGTAGTCATATAATGCCTTTGATATGTTACCATTAAAATAGTGCCTTAATTTTTTTAAAAATAATTCCACTTTTAGTATGCATTTGCAAAAATATCAGCATTTAGTCTTACCGCATATGGAACCTATATATTAATCTAAACTATACATGATGAAAATGACTAGCAGCTTTTGATTTTGTTTGGGTAATGGGCAAAGATGAGACAGATTTGCAGCAGGACCAAATAGGGAAAAAATGTGTTCCCAACAATTAATGTATTTAAAAGAAAATACAGAGAGACTGGTGGATGATTAAATCGGATAAATTAATAACCTCATGCTCGCATATGATCAAATCTCCTTTGATGCATCTCCCTGGTTCTTCATTTTTTTTTTGTTCCTTCATTTCATTGATGTGCAGCCTGAATGTATACAGTAATCTTTGCTTAAACTATTAATTAAAAAGATCCAGCCAACTTGTAAACCTTTTGAAAGGTTAAACAGCTGAGAAGAGGTGTCCTCCATATAACCTTTAATTTGGCTAAGCAGCATTCTGTGTAAAGATTTTTGCTGACAAACGGAACTGTTTTCCTCTGATTCATTCCTTCATTCCCCCATATAAGGATGCAAAGAGGAAATCTACTTACCATTAACACACTCAAAGACATCACAGCACTTTCCAGGTGTCCCATTGCCTCGTGAGACAATCCGAGGAATTGACCCGGCTTCACACACTGGGAAACTGCAAAGCCCGGAAAGACACTCACATCTGTAGATGAGCAAAAAGGAGGAGAATGTGTCAGCACTACCAATCTCTTTGTTCCTTGCAAAGATAATTAGCTACCAATTAAATCCATTGGGGAACATAATCATACATTAGGTAATGGCAGAAAATGTCAAAATAGTCTAATACTTTTGGAGATTTTAAATTGTCAGTCAATGCACAGAATCAGAAGGCTACGGCAAGCCAAAATTAATATGATTTATTCATTTGTTTTATTGAAAAGAAACAAATACATCAATGTGACTTATTATAGGCACAGCGTAATTAGAAGCATTTAAGTGGGCAGTACAAGGGGAAAAAATACCATGGGGATGTCATGGTAATTGATTTTTGGGCCCAGCTCAATCCATACTCATATGCCAGTTGTTCCAAACATGCATCTATGGCATGGACTTGCAGACATTAACTGCTGCAATTTACCTCTGTGTGCAGGCCACGGATAACACTTTTTTTTTTACTTATTAATTTTAAAGTGTAACGAAACCCATCAATTAAACTGTTTCCCAAAAGAAAGCTTGTGTAAAATATGTTATAAAAATGGTTATTAAACTCTTAATATTCATGTCCAGGCAGAATTGTTCTGTAATTTGTTAAAACATCTATTTCTTACCATTTCTGCAAAATGTGTCTGTTTTGCTACGGAGTAAAGCACCAACACAGTAATCTCAAGATGAATCATTAGTGAACAGGAGACTGCCTCCATTATTTCCTTTTTGTATGACCATCTGTTATGCATGCTACTCCCTTGGCCACTGGTTGTGTACTATCCTCTCTGTATTTTCTAAGGATATAATTAAGTCTCTACTCACTGTAGTGGTCAGGGCTGGGTGTCTCAGGCTCCAGGTCTGAACCGTTCACTTACTATGCACTTACATCGGCTACATCTCTCCACATTAATATCCATTAACAACGGCCAAATTCCCACCTCCAATCCCACCTACATTAATCCCCATTCATAACTACAATCTCCATTGCATGATGGGAATTGTAGTTTCAGCAAGCAGTGATGTAAATGCTGGTTTGATGCCTTCTCTGGATGCTCAACCATTGCTGCTGTTTCACAGTGGTGACCTTTGACCACTAAGTTTTAGAATGTATTTTTTACATAATTATTCACATTTATTATGCATGGAAGTAATAAAGGTATTGTAGAAATAATTTGTATGCCAGAGTTCAGCTTTATGCAAGCATATTGATGTTATCTCCTAAGGTGTTTTCATTCAAATTCTACCTGCTAGTGTATTTACAGTGTATGCTACATTCGAAGCATGCCTCTAGCGACAAAATCATGCAGAAAACTGTGACAGTTGTCAGCTTTCAACCATTTTAAAGCGCTGTCCACATATGAGCGTCTCATGAACGTGCATCAAAAGCGCACAAAAGTGAATGGGGGTTAAAGCCCTCAAATGACTGGTGTGATTGCTGATCATGTGTTTAGCATCAAAGCAACTGCAAATCTAAATATAGACACAGTTGGCGCCATCTTCGGATGTAGGGGCAAGTCACACGTTGAAACAGTTTGAGAGTTGCAAATAAATGCTTCATTTTTGAACATCCAAGTCCATCTAACAGGAATAGAAATAAAGAGGTTATGAGGTCTTTTGTATTTATCAAAAGACCTTGTTGTATCCAGCCTAGAACCAAAGGCTGACAATGGACCAGATTTTGTGTTTACCAATTTTCTTTTTCCTGTTGTGCCTAAATTAGAACAGGATCACAACAACCACTGTAGGCTCAAGTATCTCACATAATTTAACTATTTCCCTGGAGGCTCCAGATTGATGAAATTCACATTTTAATGACAGTTTTAAATATCAAGCACTTGGCATGTTGTTTCTAGCAATATGTTTTGGGCTTTCATTTTCATGCTACTGTTCACAAGATCAGTCTGTGAATGACAGTACAACAGTGCTAAGGTCGGATGTTCAGTAACTGGGGGAGAAAAAAAAAACTCCATGATCGTGTGGGGCAACAGTAAGTGGTTAGTAATTTCATTTACACATTAAGCCATCTTGGTATAGTGTTTCTGTTCAATGAAGTGCAGTATAAAGCAGGCACCAAACGTTGGATTGGTGTTATAAAACACAACATGTATCATGTTTGGGGGCATTAAGCAATTTTCAGGCCTAAAATGTGGATTATAATGTGTGCAAAAAAACGAAAAAAGGCCTTGGTAGCAAAAGGGTCCTTATGGGGTTAAACATGCTGCTTTGTAAACCTACACAAGCATATTAACTGAATGCAATGTTCCCCATATATTTATATAATCAATAAAATAAAAATAAATCACCAATATAAACAATATTAATTTGATATATAAACATTTCATGGGTCAACTAAAGAAAGCACCTCAGACACAATGAGTTTTAGGTCTCTGTTTGAATTTAATTTCACATAAAAGCCTAACTGAATTTTAAAGGAAAACTTCACGTTCATTTAAAATAATACAACATGTAAAATTGCTGCACAAGGCATTTTATTGTTAATAATGGTTTTTAGAATGACCTTTCCATTTTAATCTGAAGCCACTATCATTTTCTAAAACTGTTCAAAATGTTTACTTCAATGTGGCAACCTGGAGTCTGCACTAAAGGTACAATGTTAGGCATTCCCTGGAAAATATGTTTAATTTTTGTTAAGATACTGATGTAGAAATTAGTTTGGAAAGGACATGGTGAAACAGCTTTTTTCTTCAGAACAGAAAGTTAGGCATCTGCAAAAAATGCTTGTTAAATCCTTGCAATTAACCTTTTTTCCCCCTCAACAAAAGTAGAGTTACACCGTAAATACATTCCAGATGCACCAAAACAAAAGGTTTTTAAAGTCTCACAGTTCCTTTTCTTTGGGGACAGGCTTTTCTGCTCAGGGTGTGGCTGCATTCTAGTCTGCATGCTGTAGACTTTTATTCTCTTGGTGGAAGCAGTGGTCTCTATGCACAGGTCTCACATGCCCCCTGTTTAGTCAGAGCGAGCACTCTGTAATCAGCAGGGAATGTGAGCATTACCAATTGCAGAGCTACATGCCTGACTCAGAAGTGGGTGTGTCTATCCTCTGCAGATAGACCACTGGTTCTCTACAGGATGCTGGCAGGACACAGGATTTTATACTCAGGCTGTATCTGCTATCTGAACAAAGTGAACACTAAGACTTGTAATGCCTTTTATTTGATTGCACCACCAAGGTATTTAGCTGATTTAAACTGAACATTTAGAATGGCTTTAGGCATAAAGCATAAGTCACAGCTGGCTTCCATAAGCAGAACTGAGAATGATAAAATGTTTTAAAAGTGAAAAGAAGACTAGAGCTTTACCAGCAGACTGGGCAAAAGACACCATATTAATATACAGCATTTCTGCACTATCCACCATAAAAAAAAAAACTTCACTACAACCTCACCTGCTGAATGCATAAAAAAACTTGGTTAAAAAAAACAAGGAAAGAACCCGCCATACAGGAATGGATCAAAGATCGTTGAAGAAATTCAAAGATAGGTATGACTTGTATTAAAGCATTTAGGTGTCTTGGATAGTGATATGAGAAACTAATTAGATCCAAAGAAGCCTTCAGTTCATTGTATGCATCCTTACTGTGCACTCTGAGCTACAGGACACAGTTATTTGATTGTTAATGTTTATTGTAATAAATGCACAAGATCTATAAAAAGGCTTAGCAATGTAAACATATGTCACGAGTGTTTCTATAACATGGTCTACGTGTTAAGGTGCCCATACACCGTCGCACAATTTCCGTACGGAGGCCTCATCCTGCCCCGATCTCAAGGTTCAATTAGCGGTAGTTTTAAAAAACACCTGGACGAATTGCATTAAATCGACCACACATATTTTCGTTTGCGCATGAGCAGGGTTTATCGTACAAATTTTGACTACGGAAACGCCACCAACCGTGCGAAAATCGTACGATTGACCGAGGTTTTCTAGCATGCTGGAAAGTCAAAAGTCGTACAATTGTACAGTATTTGTGGTTGTACACTGCCCATCAACCTTACGGATATCGGATGAAAACGTGATTGCATACGAAAATTGGCCGATAATCGTAAGGTGTATGGGCACCTTTAGAGAGTACACAGCAAGAAACAACAGGGTGAATTCATCAAAACTGGAGCAGACAAAATCTGGAGCAGCTGTGCATGACAACCAAATTAGCTTCTGTCTTCAGTTTGCTCAGTTAAGATTCAAAAATGAAAGGAGAGAAGCTGATTGGCTGCCATAGACAGCTGCTCCAGATTTTGTCTGCTCCATATTTGATACTTTACCCTCAACGTCTTTATGAAAAGAATGTTCAAATGCATTGTATGAAAATGTTGTTAGTACTGTAAACTGAAACTGTTAAATTTTTTAAAAATAAATAACATTTACATAAATAAAAAGCAAAATTATGACTATAATAAAGAATGTAGAAAATCATGCAACCCTTCATTGGCTAATCCAAGTTCTCCTTATTATTACAACAACAAAAATATGGCAGAGCAAGCATGTGAAATTGTAAAAGTAATATTTAAATTACTTAAACCCTTTCCCTGCCACTGATGTTTGGCATACAGCGGAACATAACCACTTCTAGCCGGCCAGCTCAATATGCCTTATGTTGGGTATTTGTTTTTGTATTCTATAAGTTTTGTATTTTACTGATGGGATGTAATTAGCAACTAACAAGCTGATCTCATCTTAACAGTTTGTAAATGTGGCAGCTACAGCATGGCTCCCCTGCATGGCACTGAGAATGTGATCAGGCAGCTATATGGCTGCTGACTGCATCCACAAGTCTACAATGTCCCCCAGTTTTCTCCCTCCAATGTCTTCCCCGGTGTCCCATTCTTCAGTATCCTGTCTGCTCCCCTATCACAGGATGTGTCCTGATTGCTGGCTCCCAGTGCCAAATTCTTTTTTTTTTCTGTCATCATTCTAGTTGTTCTAGATAAAGTTTACTGATCGCTTCAGCAATCAGTATGCCTGCAGCCAAAAGGA